TAGCAACTATACTCAAAAAAGTTGTTGAGCCAAATAGAGTGGATCTTAAATAACTGTGTTTCTGATCGCCCGCACATCCCCCCTCCCAACTGGGAGCCGAGTGTTGAGGGCAGAAGAAGCTGATGCTTGGCAAGGGAGAGCACCCTTGTACATCATCACATCTAACGATGCTTAGGAAACCTTTTCGTTGGCTGATGGTATTCCAGCTTAATTCAGATAGAAAAGTAGGAGCACCATGGAGTGGAAAGAAGATAGAAGGCAGGGGATAGGCTCAGGTCTCTCTCACAGAGGATGTCACCCGTCAGCCGAGCTGTGGAGCTCTGTCTAGCCAGCCCAATTTCAGTCTGCCCTCGCTGGTGACTGTCAGCAAGTCCTAAGCATTGGCAACTGCTTTTGTCAGGGCAATTTGCAATTTTGAGTCTTTGCACATATTAAGTTTCAAAAAGAACTCCCAGGCTTTACTGCTCTGAACATTTATGTTTCCCCATTGACAGATCTTGTTAACTTGTCCAGGATGGGGCTGAGGCTGGCACAGGATGCTTGTGTGTGGGCCCAGCCGGGCTCTCTGCATGAACTCGCCCTGGAGGCTGGGGAAGGATACAGCTGGCCAGAGGCTCCTGGTCCTCATCTTCCATCCTCTTTGCTGCAGGTGGTTCAGTGACTCTGTCCAGCCCAGGGGAACACAGCCCACGATCCAGGTGCTGAGTCCAGAAAGAATGCTCCCTATTGAAATCATGTTGGGAACATGGCCCCTTGCAGCCAGCCACTGTGTGTTCGTCTGTTTTGTGGACAAGACCATGGCAAATGTCTAACAAAGTGTTTAAACAGTCCTTTTCATTTTTGGTGATTTGTGTAGGGGAAGGAGTTTAAATCTCATGACTGTCTTTAACAGAGAAAATACATGAAGTACAATACTGACTCATGATCATAGAATATACTTAAACACACCCACGTGTGCACTCAGAGTATGTTGTGTGTGTATACACAGTATATATTTCCAGAATAGAGATTAAAACAGGTGAAAATCACAAATTAGTATATTTGTTGACTTGAAATCTCTATGAATATAAAAACTGTACTTAAAAATATAATAAAGAAAAATTTAATAATGGTGTTGCCTGAAATGATGAAACCCAAAAGAAAACACAGAATTCTTTTCAGTCAGTGTTATTTATAACACAGAATTCTTTTTCATCAGTGTTATTTATGGAAAGATTTAAACATAGGATGTAAACTAAACTTGAGAAATCTTTTTAGTTAAAAATATTTCATTGGAAAGAAATGGCTTTTTCTTGTGTATTTTAATGGATACAATTGTTTCCATGATGTGAAACACTTTGATACTTATTTTGTCTCCTTGCTTTTGAAATTTTTTTCCTAAAGAACAAGAGTTTCAGTTACATATTTGATTATGTAAAACTTTGTGTAATGCAATTATTTGCCTTTGCCGTGTGAAATAAAGGTTGCAGCCTTGTCTTTCACTATAAGCTCATGGCTATAAGAGATTTATCGAAGATTTGATTAGTGTGTGGTTGGGACAATAGAATAGCAGCCTTGATAAGTGAACACTGTGGCTGACAGATCTGTAACTTCCTCGGATGAAGCATGCCTGGGGGCCAACGGCTGCTCATTTATTTCACCAAATTTAAATCAACTGTGGAGGCAATCAGACAATAAATTGTGTGTCCATCTCTGGTAATCAAGTTGGCATCTTCAACAGTGAAGACTTGTACAAAGATTTCACAGCTCCCTTTTCAAGCTGGATTCCTCTTTGTACCAGCTCGTGCAGGGAATAAAAAATGGCGCTGAGCTGTAAAATAGCACTCTTTTCTCCGTTCTCTTCGTACACTCTCTGCCTTACCACCTAGTAGTCGAGACGAGGGATTTCAGCTTCTGTGAAGCTGCCACTTAACTGCTTGAGGGGGATTCTTTTGTCTGGGCTTTGGAACAAGATAACCGACTTAATCTTCCTAGAAACACGTGAGTCGCCATGTATCATTCTAATCTGTAAAACACTGGGACTGAGTAGTGTCACATGCTGATTTTACTTTTCTATGAGAAAGTGACTCCCTGGCTCAATGATGGATTGCTTGTTCCCTTTAAACAACAGTCAAGATGGTGAATGCCCTGGGGTGATGACAAGAGTGTGCAGTGGGAACCGGGGCAAAGCTGCCGGCCCGGTTCAAGTTCACCTGACAAAGCTGGTGCAGTTTGCAAGCAGCATTCGAGAGAGGATTATTCACACTTGCATTATATTTCTGAATGCATTTTCTCTCCCTCGCAGCTGCACAGCTCCGGCATACTGAAGGCTTATGCACCATAATAAAGAGATTTCTTTTCTCTCTCATTCTTTCTCTCTCTCTCTTTTTTTTTTTCCTCGTGTTATACCTAGTTTCTACGGAACTGTTCAGGCTGAGGACATCTGTATATCCAAACAATATGGAACAAACACTGTCTTCAGAACAATGACCCCATTAAAGTTAGTAATGCCATTCTGGTATTTCTCATCTATGAATGAGGTAAAGAGTAAATATTCTTATGTTGAACTTAACTCCTGAAACCCAGGCTTTAAAACAAAATTCTACACACTCAATAAATGAGAGAGTAAAATCAAAATGAGTTCAAATTACAAAAATGATAATGACATTTCCCCACAGACTTCCTTGAACTCTCAGTGTTCATCTGATAAAGAGTGAGATGCATTAAAAGATGGAGAAGAAAACTAAAAAGCTTTGAATACTCCACAAAAGTGGGTTTCTGGATAAATTGAGTGTTTGATTGAGGAAATTCTGAATTTGAATTTCATTCCACCACCTGACTTCAAAGTAATTTTCTGAAGTCCAGTGGCTCAGACACTTTCCTATTGCTTCTTAGCTTCGTAGCAAGAAGGAGGGAGCAGTAAGCAGTTACTGGACGTGAGAGTCACATACACTCATCTCCAGCGGAATACTCCTTCCTTTAGTTTTTTGTCCTCAGTTAAGCAAAAGCGATCGAGAGAAGCATTGGCCATTTAAGAAGACACTGTAATAAAAATGTACTAGGAAACAAAGAAGCTGCAGACCCAGTTGAGACATTTATCCATGTCCCTAAGGCCTCCAGTGAGCCCCACCTGTCCTCTTGCTCTTCTCCCACTCTGTTTCAGGATGTGTCCGTATGGACAACACAGCGTGAGTGATGGTGTAACTTCTGGGGTGAGGTGTTACAGGCACCATGGTTTCTGTCTATCTGTCTGATGGATTTCTCACTCAAATAAGCTGTCGGGTGTTGCTGTAGTTTCTTTCCCTGGTCCCACAGATGATTAGCCCCAAATAAACACACAGAGACTTATAATAATGGCTAGGGCTTCTTACTGGCTAGTTCTGTCTTAATTATTAACCATTTCTATTAATCTATGTATAGCCACGAGGCTGTGGCTTACCCATATCTGGAATATTGCTCCTTCAGCAGCATGGTATCTCTAAGTCATCTTCCCAGAATTCTCCTCTTCTGGTAGCCCCACCTGTACTTACTGCCTGACTACTGGCCAATCAGTGTTTTGTTCATCAGCCAATAAGAGAAACATATACAGAAGGGCATCCCTCATCAGGAGAGTCCTGTGGAAGAGAAGGAACAGAGGACTCTGACCCTCTGCCCACAAGGGAGAAGCCTACTACTGAGGGCTGTGTGAGAGTTTTCCAGGTCCAAGCTCTCTGATGACCACTGACATCCCTTCTGTCACCTAACATACCCCTAATCAGAACTACCTTCCTAAGCCAACCCCAATTTCCTATCTGCAGAAACTGCAAGGTAGTCAATAAGTGCAGTTTTAAGCCCTTGTGACTAGGAAATGTTATTTGTGTTAGCGACAGCAATAGGTAAATAATGGAAAGAACTTTAGCATTCTGTTCTGGTATAGATAACCATTGGTTCTAGCTGAACAATGAGAGCTATTCAGTTATTTTGGGAGCTTTAAGTAGGCTTATATAGGTTGTAATGGGGTCTGGGAGAATAAAGGCTCTCGGGGAAGATGTTTTTCACTAGAAGGTTGAAGAATTAAGTTTTGGCTAGCATACAAAATAAGGGACTTCATGATGACATTTTCTTTAAAAATAATTTCATCACTATTGTGTGTACATGTGTGTGAGGGGGTGCGTTTGAGAATGCTGCAGTGTGTGTGTGTGTGGAGGTCAGGGAACATCTTTTATGAGTTGGCTCTTTCCCTCCACCTTTTTGTAGGTCCCAGGATTTGAACTCAGGCTGCAGACTTGCATAGCAAGTGCTCTTATTTGCTGAGCCACCTTGCTGGCCTCGGTATGACATCTTCATACACTCATATCTCCCCTTACTGCCTCTCTCGTCACTTCTCTCCCCAAGTAGTGTCTCTTCTGCTTTCATGTCACATATATGTGTTTAAATCTAGATTGTCCATACGACCAAATGTCCAGTATTTTGTCCTTTTCTCCCTCTGTTACTCTTGCATTGTAAGAATCCACACAAGAAAGACACAGGCAATCTTGCTGGTTAAGCCAATTAAAAGTGAATGGGTCCTTTTCAAATGGGCAACTAAGAACAGGCTCATGAACAGAACTATCTTGGGGTTGAAGTCCAAAGACACAGTGATTTTAAAGGCAAAACTCACAAAGAACACAACACACGTGAAAGTTAGATGAAGGCCAGAACAGTCTTGGTTCCTGGTAGGACATAGTAATCATTTCAGGCATACCATGACAATTGTTTTTGACTTATACCTACTTCAGGTATTTTAGTTTACATTAGTTAAGTTAATACATTGGGACCATGGTCAAGGTCATGGGAATCTCAAATGTGTTGCCAAGTTAGATGTAACTGTTGGTGGGTAGAAGGCTGAGTAGTGTCTAAGCAGATATGAAATGGCGTTGGAACAAGATGGTATTAACTTAGTCACTTCACTGTGACTTTCCTGGGGAAATGGAAACAGCTTCCCATTCATCCTGGGACAACACCAGTGACAAACCAAAACAACTATCCCACTCAAACCCAGCTTAGTGAATCACTAAGTTTATTGGGGTTACTTACAGGAGCACGGGTGACTCAAAGCCAGCTACTGTAACCCGAAAGTCCACCCCAGCATGGGTGGTGATTCATGAAAGCCATTCCCTTAGAGCTAGCCCCCTGAAAGCTCATCCAGTTGGGTCAGAGAATATCTTTCCCAGAAATGCTAACTGCTTATGTAACCCTGGGGAGGGCCTTGTGAGCTTTTAGGTTTAAAGCTTCCGAACATTTTACGTTTGTTTACTTTCTGAGCCCTTCACATGGAGACAGCACACAGTTTTGTCTGAGTCGAGCTTGTTTTGCTTAACATTTTCCTGCAATGACACACTTTCATTGATATGATTGTATAATAGTTCATTTTGTATGTATGGATAACACATTTTCTTTATTCATCATGAGCATCTGGGCTAGGATCTTCTGCCCTGGTGTGTGTGTGTGTGTGTGTGTGTGTGTGTGTGTGTTTGATCATGTTTGTGTTTATCTGGAGGCTAGAGGTCTAATCATCCTCCTCTTTCATTCCCCATCTTAATTTTTGATACAGGGCTCACACTGAACCTGGTGCTAATCAATGTGGCCAAGTTCACTGGTCAATGAGTGACCTCAACCCACAGGAATAAAGGGTTTGAGAAGGACCAGGGATGAGAAAACAAAACAGACAGAAAGCTTGGACCAGGAGATTTTGCATAAGCTTATCACTTATGTTAATCAAATTTATTAAGGAGTACAGCATCTTATATTCTGTTTGGAGGTGGAAAATGGGATAGAGTCAGCAGGAAGCTAATTAAGCAATGTTGGAAAGGAGAACACAGGATACCTCAAATACAGCTACCTTAAGACAAATGACCGCAGGCCTTCAGTGGCGAGAGTTGGGTTCCAAAAAAGCCACAACCTTGACTCCTTTAGGGTCCTGGTCCCAGCCCTAGACTGGCCTAGCCAAGTGTGACCCTGGGTAAGGATATCAGGGCCTCTGAGGAAGCCTTGGATAGTCCTAGCTCCCAACCCCTTCATGCCATTGTTGCATGTATCAAATGTGCCAACTTAAAATAGCATGTGTTGATTTCCTCATGGTTCTTTAGGGCAGGAGACTGGACACAGAGTGACTGGTCCTCTGTGTCCAGCCCAAGAGGTTAATATTGTTTTATCAATATTAACAACTTTTATGGACACTGTTCCTATGATAGGTTGTCAAAGAATCTGGCTACTTTCTGTCCCTTCCTAAGAACTTGTCTGAGGCTAAATTAAAAACCATTGAATGAGTTTCTTTGGTGGAGACCATTTTAGGGCAGCATAACATTAAATCTATGGTGTGATTACTGTTATTATTTTAACTTAGTTAACTGATTTTTATGTATGTAGGTATTTTGTCTACATGCATGGTTGTGTACCACACGCATACTTGATTTTCTCAGAGGCCAGAAGTGGGGACTGGATCACTTGGGACTGGAGTTACAGATGGCTGTGAGCTGTCGTGGGGGTTATGGGAATAGAACCTGGGTTCTTTGGAAATGCAGCCAGTGTTTTTAACTGCTGAGCCATTTTTCCAGCCCCCAGCATAGTCATTACGGATGAACATTATACAGATCTACAATGGAAAAAGAACAAGTGAGGCAGAAATACAGAACATGTAGTTTGAAGAGAAAAACAACACCACTAAACTTAACGTTGCAGGGAAGGTTTGTGATAAATGAGAAAGGGGGATTAGTGCCACTAAGGAGAGACCTCCTGCACTGCACTGTAGTAAAGAGAAATGGTGTCCTTTCGGCAACATCCCACCCAGATACTCTTTCGATTTGTGAAAGGAAAAGGCTAAGGTGTGTTCTGCTCCTAGAAAGCAATTTCAAATAAAATACAAGGTGCTGGGGCTCATTCCAAACTGGAAGCCAAACTTGGCAGTGTGGTTCTTGTGGTGCTGGCTTTAGGATCATGGAGGATGAGTGAAGGTTGGAAGGGATCATTAATTCTTTCTCTGTGGTTTCAGAGAGCTGTTAACCTTCCCCAAATAGAATCACCAGCAGGGGACCAATTGCTCAAATGCCCAAGACCATGGGAGACAGTCCTCATTCAAACTATTAAAGGACCACAGTATATTAGAGATGCCAGAGCTGTGAGATATCTGCCAAGGAGGGCAGCTTACAGGAAATCAAGTAAGCAGGAGAGAGAGAGAGAGAGAGAGAGAGAGAGAGAGAGAGAGAGAGAGAGAGAGAGAGAGAGAGAGAGAGAGAGAGAGAGAGAGAGAGTATGACATCAGCAAAGATGGAGAGGTGGAACCACCTAATCCCTATGAAATGAAAACCTCAGACAAGAGATCTGAAGAGATCTGGAGCTACAGGATTTGATATTTGCCCTGATTGGTTTCTATCTTGTTTTGGTCCAGTATTTCCCCATTATGCCCCAATTCCTCCCTTTGGGAATGGGAATACATATTCTATGTTGGAAGTATGTGATTTGCTTTTTGATTTTTACTGAGGGTTACAATGAAGAGTCTTGAGTCTTAAAAGCAACTTTGGACTTTGGAACAGTACAGAAACTGTGAAAAATGACGGGGTCTTACAAAGCTCAATGAAATGCATTTGTATTACATGACCAGGGGCCTAACAGGCCAGTGAGTAGAATGTAGTAACTTAAAGAAGAATATGCCCAGAGTCTTGGGTATGTAAACACATGGTTCACAGGTGATAGTGTCAATTAAGATAGTGCAACTGTATTGGTGGAAGTGTGTCACTGGAGATTGGCTTTGGGATTAAAAGTCTCAGGTCATTTCCAGTACACCTTACACATTCTTTGATTCTGTCTTAAGGTTCAAAATGTGAGTGCTCAGTTTTCTTTATTACTTCTGTTGTTTGTTTGTTTGTTTTCAAGACAGGGTTTCTCTGGACAGCCCTGGCAGTCACAGAACACATTCTGTAGAGCAGGTTGGCCTTGAACTCACAGATCTGTTTGTTGCTGCCTTCTGCTTGCTGAGATTAAAGGTGTGCGCCACAACTTCCTGGCGGCATCAAGTGTTCGGTTTTCTGTTCCTGCCACGGTGCTTGCTGCTTGTTGTCATGGCTTTGTTCCCCTATTAAGGACTCTTGTCCTTCTTCAACCGTAAGCCCAAATAAACTCTTCTATAAGCTACCTCGGTTCTGGTGTTTTAACACAGCAACAGAAAAGTATCAAGAACATTTGTTTTCCCTGATATGGTCTTAATAAACCTGTGTGCAAATACAATCTCAATTCACCCCAGTGAATTAATAGGTGACACTCTGTCTACGCCAAGGAATGCCACTTGTTAGTCTGTGTTGTGTGAATAGATGGTGTTTACTTCTCCACTCAGGGACCTGGTTTTCCTTTACCTTGACCTGGAGTCAAAGTTGTTTATAAGATAGAATCTGCCCAGAGGAAGTCTTCAAAACCACTGTTTAAAAATAATATGGAATAACTGGGGATAAGGCACAGCTTGATCTCAGCAAACGGTCATCCTGAGCCCAGCAAAGGAGGGAATGGAAAGTAAAGCAACAGTGATTTTGGGGGATAGGACTGGTCCAGATCAGCACGCTCTGACTATGCACCCTGAGTAGTGAATCCACCTGCTTTCGCATAATGGGTCCCTAGGTTGGCATTGAAGGATGTCTGGGTCCCATCAGCAGCTGATAGCCCTGATGGCCTGGAGGCTTTGGAGACCAGGGGGAGAGAGTAGTGCATTTACTCCAAAGGGAGCTGTTAATGTGAGGGTTTTAACAAGGCCTGGATCCCACAGGTGGGGCAATGTGGATTTCCTTGCCCTATACTTGTCCCTTGATTCGGGGGTTTGGAGGGTGGAGTTGAGTCCATTGGTGGGCCAGTCCTTCTCAGCCTCTTCAGAGAGATATTGAATAGCACTTAAAAAAAACCAACCTTTGCAACAACAAATGGCTTTCATGGTAGGCTTGACTCATGGCCATGGACTCAATAGTTCACTGATGTCTGTCTCATGACATCTAATGTCTCTTTGTCAGTTAATGGCCACAATCTCTTTTTACTGTCCTTATCCTCAGTCTCTCATCCAGTACGGATTCTATTTTTTCTGTAGGACTTTACACAGTTTTTTACTTTTCCTTATATTTTTTTTCTTGCTTAGCTTGATAAAAATCTTGATCTTCCTCATCTCTGTTCATTCCTCAGACTTTATTTGATGTCCCTTTCAAATATCTTACATGTAGGAACAAAGCATGGAGACTGAAAATCTGTGACGTACATAGACCTGTGTGCTAGTATCAGCACAGTTGCAGGAGAGGGTTTGATGCTTTGAACAGTCCCCCCCCCCCCCCCGCTTTTCTGCTCTCCTGTGCCTTCAGTAGTTCAAAAACATCACTCAGCAATTTCATCTAATGCCCAATCCATATTCAAAGGTCCTAATGCCTCCAAATGTTATTTCATGCCTCACTTATGGTCTTACTTTGCATGAACACATTGATTTCATACATCTGGAGTATTATCCAGCAATAAAGAAGAAAGTCTTGTACTTGAACACAATGGATGCAATTGGAGGATGCTCCTGAGGGAGGGGCTGGGGAACGTAGGTCAACTGTAAACTTAAAGGGGCAAGCATGTGCCTGGAATTGACACTTTTCAATTCCTCTTGTAAGTCAATGGCTGGAATCATCCAATGGCTGAAAGGATCAATACATGCCAAGCTGTGTGCCCCAGAGGAGGGAGATGTGATGCTAGGCTCCCGAAGGCCTGTAAAACTGCCAACCTACAGCCTACATGTTACTTGGTTTCTCTAGGGAAGGTCTGGTCAGAGAAAGACGATGGCATATTTCATTACAACTTGCATGCTGGTTATTAAAGAAGTAAAATATTCCCCGCTTTCCAAAATTTGTAGTGACGTCTTTCTGATCAACAGAGTGAATCTGAGGGTCTGTAAGATAGATGAGGCCTTTTCCATTGCCAGTCACCCAACCTAAAAGAGAATGAATTCATCTGAGCATCACATACCATAGAAATGGCAACACACACACACACACACATGCACACAAGCACGCTTCCACACATGTGTGCATGCACACACACATGCACACTTAAAGAGATACATTTAAAAGTTGATCATTCTGTGGTTTATATTTAGTAAGTTTATGCCAAGGAATTTGACATGTATACCTTAATTGAAGAGAACTGAATGACATACTGAGATAACAAATATTCACAGAATTATAGAGCATAAAGTTCATTTAGAATAATTATTAAAATCTCAATGTTGAGCATTTCGTTCTTGATTTAGAAATTTCTTCATGCCACATTCACTAGGTCCCATATTTTCATATTTAGCTGACATTTAAGTAACAAGCACAGGTACTGTACAAAAAAAGTCTTAGATATTAAGTACACAGAAGTGAACAAGATAAGCAAAAATGTTTGTGTCAATTGACCAAGTATTCTCATGAAGGCAGACAGATAAGTAAACTATGAATGTGTAAAACATACAGTGTGATGGGTATAAACGCTATGAAGTAAGAACAGTGGATTAAAAGGCTCTTGATAGAATATTCACCAACATGAATTATGGTGAGTACAGTAACCAACACACTGAAAAATCATTACTATTAATAAGGATTTAAAGAAAAGGCAATTTTAAGAACATACAGCTTTCTGTTTCATAATAATCCCAATTATGAAACTCAATTATCATCTTTCACTATGGATAAAGGGCTAGAGAGAAGGAAAAGTAGAGATGATTTCGATTATTGATTATTAATTTGCCTGTGACAGTGTGGTGGTTTGAATGGAAATGATCCCTATATACCCATAGGTAATGGAATATTAGGAAGTGTGGCCTTGTTGGAGTAAGTGTGGCCTTGCTGAAGGAAGTGTGTCATTGTGGAGTCACGCTTTGAGATTTCATACATACACGAGCCAAACCTAATGTGACAGTTCATTTCCTGTTGCCTGTGGATCAAGATGTAGAACTCTCAATATATCTCCAGAATGTCTTACTGCCTGCCACCATGGAGATAATGAACTACACCTCTGAAATTGTAAGCCACTCCACAGTTACAGTGTCTCTTCACAGTAACAGAAACCCTCACTAAGACAAGAGGCCAGAAGGGGGTGTCATACAATCTGGAACTAGAGTCACAGACAGTTGTGAGTGGTCAGCCTTGTGGGTACTGGGATTGAACCCAGGTCCTCTGTGAGAACAGCAAGGGCTCTTAACCACTGAGCCATTCTCCAGTCCCATGAAAAAAAGTTGAGAGGATTTTGAAGTGGATTGTAGTAATAAGAAAGTGATTTTACTCACATCCACTCAAGTGGGTAGAAGCTTCTAGAGACCAGTCTACAACTTAGCCCAAGAGACTATAGAATGAATAATGAGATGCTTAAGTCACTCACGAATCATTTGCTACATGCAGTAAAATCAATGAACTTAATTCCAAATAGTACCCTGCACACAGAATGGTCTATGAGATATGATTAATGATTAGTGAAGCAATCATTAGTTGCAATATTCAGAATAAGAAGTAAACCCCTGCTTTACATACCTTGCAAATCGACTACAACATCTCTGTGTTTAGAAAACTCATAAGAAAAATGGCCATAAGCCAAGCCATATTCTGTAGCTTTGTACTCAGTTTTGACTACTTTGGTGTTATTTGATAACTTGACGAATTCTCCCAGCATGTAAGGTTCCACACTGATGCATCCCTTTATAGTCTTGTCTTCCAAAATCTGAAACACAAAGATGGGAGGTAGTGTGCACAAGGATACAGTCTCTGCAGTGAGGTAGATCTCAGTTTGGACTGAGGCTTTGCTTTGTAGATCTATTACTCTAGACTTCAGTTTCCTCAGAGACAGGTCTAAGAGTAATAATAACTCTAATCTTGTCAGAAGGATTAAGTGATAAAACAAATACAAAGTCCCTAGCATCTGGAGCATAAAATAGAATCTAAAGTGATTATTGTTCATAGATTAAATTTCTCACTTAAAAATTAGGTTACAGGGACTGGACCAATGACTCTATGATTAAGAGCACTCACTGGCTGCTCTTCCAGAGTTCAGTTTCCAGCATCCATACATTGGCTCACTTCTCTAAATCCAGTCCCTGGAGATTCAATGTCCTCTTCCAGCCTCCAGAGGCACAAAGCACACATTGGTTCACAAACAATGCAGACAAAATATTCATACACATGAATCGAGTTAGGGCACAGTGACCTCCCCTCAGGCTGGCTTGCCAGAGCATGTGAGTGGAGCATACCTTGGAACTAAAGGCTATTATCTCATGTATTTCCATATGATGAGTTTGACTTCCTGGTTAGTATCAATGCCTACTTACTGACATGAAGGTACAAATCAGATGATATCTATTTTATAAACACTAAAATATGAGTTGAAGGGTCTCTGACTAATGAAAAAATCATCACAAATATGAATACAGGAAGTAACCAATCTATCTGAAGAAACAGGGCATTCTTGATCCAAACAAAGAAAAAGAAGTAGGGAGATTGCCTTCATCTCTCTGAAGTGATGTTTAGTGAAGAGAGAATGGTTTCAATGTCCCTGAAGTCTAGGATAGAGGAAGAGATGTTGGGCCAAATCTAATTACTGCCTAACAATTAAATTACTAGAAACTGAAGTACTTACTTTTTTTTCCTTGCTAAATGTGTTTAAGCTACATTGGTTGCAAGGACTTGGAGAAGAAATGGAAAGCAAGGGATTTACATGCCATGCTGAAGGAATAATTTGTACAAAATAGAACCTTGAGAGTCCCTTTGCAGAGAGACAACTCAAAAAGAAAAGTCTAGAGATTATGCTAACTTAACCAGGCGTTAGGGTCAACTGTTACTCTGATGTGACTCACTGGACTGTCTAGTCCAAATAAATGTGTTGGAGAGGGGGCGGCGGGTCATTTTTCTCACATATCTTTTTAAAAGGATGAAGCTGATGAAGCTGATGAAGGAGCCTAGGAACTGGAGGTATAAGATTTACCAGGACCATGCTAGAAGTAGACTTGTAAAAGGAATATAGCCTAGCATATGTTTGTAGGCTTGTTTCATTAGCCAAACCCACGCTTTTTAAGGCCTTACCAGCAATACTGTCGATGGGATGTAGAAGATCTGTGTTGGAATCTTTTGTTCGTAGAGTCTCTTGTTAAATTCTGTCACATAGTGCTGCGCTGTCATCTGCCGCTCCACGTCAGTGAAGTGGTGCCGGAGCCCCTTCCACTCTTTGTATTCTTTCCCCACGTATCTGCAGATGGACAGAGCCCACACAGCAACGCGTGAAACACATCATTACTACAGAGTCAATGAGAGCGGTTAAGAGACGCAAGGTTTAAAAGATAGCTTCTGCTCCTTGTCTAACCGATCTCAATTGTCTTAACTTCAGGTCTAAATAATTTTGCAAGAGCCACTTCTACAACAGAGCACAGCTCATGCTAGCTGGCCGGAAATGATGTGGAATACGGAGGGAAACTGTCTGCTCAATGCAGGAATTCTTCACACCTCTGTGTAGACCGGGGGTCAACACTGTGCTGTAGAGCCCAATGCGCTGTCATCTGCTGTGTGGTCTTAAATATACCAATTAGTCAGTATGAAGCTCTCCCTACCCCTTCCCTGGGTGATTTCATTCTTGAATACTAAATTTACTAACACTTATTATTGGCACACCAGTGTGCTAGCTCTGAGGGCATGGAGAAAAGTATGAGATATAAGACATGTCACTTTCTAGGGCTCATAGTATAATGGAACAGAGACTATACAAGGGAGTAAGTAATTAAACAAGACAGTAATCTACTACTATTGTCATGGTAGTAATTCTTTTTTTCAAGACAGGGTTTCTCTGTGGCTTTGGAGACTGTCCTGGAACTAGCTCTTGTAGACCAGACTGGTCTCGAATTCACAGAGATCCACCTGCCTCTGCCTCCCAAGTGCTGGGATTAAAGGCATGCACCACTACCACCTGACTGTCACAGTATGCATATACTTGCTATGTATTAGTATGAATTTATTAATAATGTCCCATGTGCTTGGAGTGACCCTTAAAAACCAGAGGGAGCTGTCAGCATCATAGACCATAATGACAACACCCCCCTTAGAAATCTCTGAATCTAATATGCAACTGAACTCAAGGAGGCTACAGTTCTGAGCGTCCAGAATCCTGAGGCGGGGGGGGGGGGTCTGGCAGTGAAAAGTGTACATGCAAGTGGAGCCTCTGCTCCATCAGAGACATTCCCAATGACAAAGAGTGTCCTAAGAGGGACACCACAGTCCTGAACGCAGGTCTGCACAGGGTTTGAACCAATCCGGAGGGTTTCTTTTATTGACTGAGGACAGAAGTGTGTACAAAAGGGGTACCAATACTGAAGCCTTTCTGGAACATTCTTCTAGAAGTATGGATTACCACTCTATGAATAGGGTGATACTTTTTCTCTCATTTTATGCTATTTTTTTTTCTTAGCATGGATTTGCTATCATGAAACTCCTGTGGCTGGCCATTTAATATACAAATGTCTTTATTGTTCCTTCCATTAGAAACTTTCAAGGATGTGACTGCCATTGTTTATGATTTCTATTGCTGCTACTGGTAAGTCAGCTGTGTATATAACTAATGTTTCTTTGTACATAAATAGTTTTGCTTTCCTTTTTGATCGATTGTAAGATTTTGTTTGTTTTTAAGTAGGAAGTTTTATTGGGGGAAGGTAAGGAAGCAGGAGAAGGGAAGGGAGAGAGGGGAGAAAGAAGAGAGAAAGAGAGAGAAGAGAAGAGAAGAGAAAGAGAAGAGAAGAGAAGAGGAGGGAGGAAGAGAAAGAGACCTGCCTGCCTTCTCAGAGAAATAGTGGAAAGAGAGATGACTGTAGGATTTAAGGTTGTTTCTTTGTTTTCAGAAGTCTGTCTGTCCTTCCATCCATCTATCCATCCATCTATCCATCCATCCATCTATCCTTCCTCCTTCCTTCCTTCCTTCCTCCTTCTTCCTTCCTCCCTTCCTTTGTTCATTCCTTTCTGTTTCTTTCATTTCCCCTCACAGCCTGTTTGAATCCAATATGATTTTTGTATTTGAAGATTGGTGTCTTTTGGCAATTCTGGAAAATAACCAGAAAACTCCTTCTCAAACATTGCTTTTGTTCTCTTTTCTCTGTCATATTCTTTCAATCAAATGTTGTCTCAAACCTCCTCATTCCATTCTCTTTGTTGCTTATACTCAATGACTTTCTCATTTTTGGAGCATCCTGTGATATCTTGGTGCATTAGCTCCCTGGAGTTGGCACAATGAAGCACACAATGGACTCAGATTCTGTCATAGTTCTGAAGCCTGGATGTCCCAGATCAAGAAGCAATAGGGTACTGTTTTCTCTGAAGGCACCAAGGAAAGATCTTCCCTATGCCTACTTCTAGTTTGTAGGATTTTCTTGGCCTGCCTTGAAGCATAACCATAATCTTCATATGTACTCTCAATGTATACAGGCCTACCTCTAAATTTCTTTTTCTAAAGGACAACAGCTATGGTTCTTTGAATAAGAATAATCCTCGCCGGGTGTTGGTGGCGCACGCCTTTAATCCCAGCCCTCGGGAGGCAGAGGCAGGCGGATCTCTGTGAGTTCGAGACCAGCCTGGACTACCAAGCGAGTTCCAGGACAGCCTCCAAAGCCACAGAGAAACCCTGTCTCGAAAAACCAAAAAAAAAAAAAAAAAAAAAAAAAAAAGGATAATCCTCATAAGCTCAGATATTTGAATGCTTAGTCACTAGGAAGTAGAATTGTTTCAAAGAATTAGAAGAATTAGGAGGTGTGGTCCCTTTGAAGGAAGTATGTCACTGGGGGTGGGCTTTGAGGTTTCAAAAGCTCAACCTAGACCCAGTCTCTCTCTCTGCTTGTGGATCAGAGTGTAAAACTCTCAGCTCCAGGATCATGCCTGTCTTCATGCTGTCATGCCTCCTGCTGTGATGATAATGGACTAACCCTCTTAAACTGTAAGCGCACCCCCAATTAAATGCTTTGTTGTGTAAGCGTTGCCTTGGTTATAGTGCCTCTTTGCACCAAAAGAACAGTGACTGTACTTAGTTATAGGTTCACTCTACTCTAGTATGATTTCATCTTACTACAGCTGAAATGGATCGAGTTTCCTCAGTATGAATACTGAAACTCCCACATATGAATTTGGGGTGACACAATTTAACTCATAACACCTCATTTTACCACTTGTATATGGCTTTGGGCAAGTTCTTATCACCACCATGATTCAGTTTCCATGTATGTAAAACCAGGACAATAGTAACACCTACCTCACAGGGCTTCTGAAGATTGGCTGAATTAGTATAAGACATTTCAAATGGAGCCTGAGACCTAATATTATTGCAACATTCAACTGTTTACAAACTGTTTGGAAACAGCCAATTTCTCTATTTTTCTCAGTTTGCACATTATTAAGGTACAGGTGACAAGCAGGGTCAACTTTAAAGGTTCAGGCTTATCCATTATTTATTTTTTATGGATATTAAAAAATACAAATGGTATGAAATTAGATCCCAAGCTCAATGTGGATATCACTCATTTTTCAGGAGATGTTTTGTTCAAGAGTAAAGCCCAATGGAAACAGGACTGGCCAGACACTTGCATCCACGTAGACAATCTCTCTGCTGAGGATGTAGCTCTTTCTGAGTCAGCTCTGTGTAAGGGGCCTCCACACAGACTTCCTCTCCCACCTTTCCTCACTGCATCCTGCTCCAGCCTTCTGTGGCAGGTGACTAGAAGACCGACTAGAAGACCCAGTGATCACTTATATCACTCTGGGTGTGCTCCATCCTTGAGCTTAGAGGATTCCCTTGCCTTTCCTGTTGGCCCTCTGATTTACCTCAGGAAGCACAGCTTAGAATAAGCATCGAGAAACCAGGATTGTCAATCATGCAGGCCTATTTCCTTGGACAGAAGGAAATGAATGATGCCCAGTTACCTGGAATGCCAGAGTGAAAAGTGGTCAATCAACTCGGTGATTCTTTACTATTCTGTTAACAGCCAGCCTCCACCTGAAATCCCCCAGTATACTGAACATTGCTTAGGCCCTAGTCCTGCAGTGAACACATCCCTACGAGAGATGGTCTGTGTACTTTGCATCCTCCATCAATAGAATCTATCCTTATGCTTATTTCAGATCCTTCCTCTAGACCCTAGCCCTGAACTGTTTATCAGCCAATAGAATTCATTCTTGCAGTAAAGGTCACAGGTCACAAGTCCTACTATGTTTAAATGTGACTGTGACCCAAAGACGGCATTGTCTTGAACTTCATTCTTTACCTCTCATGAATCATCCCCACCCTCACAGGCCATGAAACTTGTGTGTGCCGGGGGGGGGGGTTTGCGGGTCCTCAACAATCTATAATTGGCCAAGATCTCTAATTTTCTTGTCTGTACAGTAGGTTTAAAAATGTTTCTCTGGTGGACTTGAGATCATGTATCTACAGCATCCAGATACTCACACGGCATAGTTTTGTGATATATGGGAACTGTTAATCAATTGACTAATGATGAAGAAGGAAGTCAATATCTGAAAGCACACATTTTGGCTATATCTCAATCCTTTCAAAATCACATGAATGACTACTTAAACAAAAGGAAAATCAGCTGACTATGCTGATGACACGCAGGTTTTCTGATAGTACCTCCCCAGAGTTTCCTCTTGATGAAGATAGTGGACCCAAAATGCATTTCTCTGCTTGCCTTTCTTCTTCACTTTCAGGTAGTCCCCTAAATACACCACAGTTTCCTGGGCTGTCCACAACTCAGACTTTTTGGAATATTTTAGCAGCAGTGCATCTGAAAAAGAAATAAGGTTAGACTTCTTTAAGTCATTTTGAACAGGCCTTGGCACCCACTTTGCATGCTCACTGTAGGCTCATGTCAGGAAATTCCATGGCTAGCAAAGCCATTTTCCCAGTGAACCACAAAACGCATCTTTCATGATCAGTGAGTGATATACCAGCACGCTCTTCCAAGGGCTCCCAACAGAAATGTTCTGAAGCCTGGAGCTACAGATCAAAAAGGTTACACTTACTGTGTGCTCTCTGGAGTTGATTGGGCCTTAAAACTCCAGTATTCTCCAGTCTCTGAAGCAGCCAATCATTTGTCACTCCTGCCAGAAGCTTTTCGAAGTCATCAGGCTGTAGGGTGCGAGCATCAAGGAGCTCTTGCCTGCTCTGTCCTGGCAATGAGACGAAAGAACTTCTGCTGGAGTTCAGAAGAGACCATGAACTTTCCCCCTCCAAAGAACTGTTGGAAAAGGCAGGAGATTTCCGCCACCGCTGTAAGGATGAGCTGGAGTTCTGGCTGCACTTCAGCATGCTCCCAAGTTCCTTTCCTTCCTCTGTGGTGCTGAAGTCTGCATAGAGGTCTGAGAAGGGACTGCAGCCACTGACAGAGGAATTTGGCCTCTCATCTCTCTGACCTGGCCTCCAAGCACCTGGCCTGTGAGTGCCATCTTGGCCAGTGGGGTAGACCTCTGTGCTGTTAAATAGTTTGGCCTCCTCAACCTCCGTAGAGGCATCAGGGTCCACAGCCTGGTCTTTGACTGAACTGCCTGTCTTTGCTGAGTCAACATCTTGAACAGACAGATGATGAGAGAAAGTCCTGTGTGTCAGCATTGAATGGTTGCCTTCTGAATACTCCAGTACTACCTGAGAGTGTGGCGGCTCATCTCCTTTGCTTTCTTCTGTTTCTCCTTCCGGGTCAACTAAAGAGGGGCCATCTGTAAATGCAGGCCCTGTGACTCTTTCAGTGACTTTCCCCCCATACTTTCCTCCACAGTGGTCTCTGATGTCATACTTGGCTTCTGGAAAATAACCAATCATTTTACAGGTTTCTTCTTCTTGTACTGAAGGATGTGTGGCCATGTCAGTGAACTTGGCAGAGGTAGACAAGGACCAGGAAAAAGAACCATATGACCGACTGGACTGAAGAGAAGCATTACTGGGTCCTTCATTTCCAATGTCCTGGTTTCCTTCAGGGACTTCTAATAGCTGTACATCCAAGGCCAAGCAAGTGTCTGTTGTGTTGAGAGGAAGGATGGGTGTTAAGGACGAGTGTTTGTGCAACTGACTTTGTGAAGACTCTAGGTTGCGACCTTCAGTTTCCTGAAGAGAGACACCATGCATCTTTGAAAACAACAGGTGTGTAGCTTTGCAGCTTCTGTCGCTCTTGGGCTCCTCAGACATGGCCGTGGAGCACTGAGTGTCCACAAGATGGTCTTCTTTGTTGGGCTCTTTCCTTACCATACCCTCAACACCACAGTTCACTTCCTCCCAGCTTGCAGAAGAGCTGAGCCCTGACAGTTTGCTCCAAGAACTGGAGCTATGGCTGTCACTCAGAGACATGCGGGGAACACCTGCCCTGCCATTGCTGTGGCCTGGCAGCTCAGTCTCAGTCCCCATATCTTGATCCAGGGAGACCCTAAATGCCTCAGAATGGGTCCAGTTTCTCCTCCTTACTCTTTTGAGCTTCTCTTGGTCTTTCTCAGCCATCTGGGAGGAAGCTACACTCCTGCTCTCTTGAGAGCACAGTTTCTCTAGAGAAGTACCCATAGTATCTATGGTGTTTGTTTCTGTTTTCAGAGCAGTGATACACACCTCTGGTTTTGTGTCTCTTTGGTTGCTTTTGCTGTTCCCACAAGTGCTTTCGAATACCTCACATACTGAAGTATGGTGTTGGGAATAGGTTTCAAGAATTTGCTGGAAGTCCACGTGCCCTTGCAAGATAGGCTTATCCAAGTCACATTTGAAACTCTCTGGGACGTAAGATCTATCATCTAAGTTTGGGAAGCTTTGAACTTGTAAATGTCCCTTCACCCGGCTGACAAGAGACATGATTTCCTGAGACAGGGCATCTCTCTCCTGACTTGTGGAGGAAGTGCTAAAGGTGTACAGCTTACCCACGGCTTCCCTGCAGAGCAGCCTGGCCGTGCGGACTGCATCTGTCTCCCCATGGAGTCTGCAGTGTACCGTGGTGAGGCCGAAGGCGGCTTTGATGAAGCTGTGCAGCTCTTGCTTCCCACTAACCGGCTCGCCATCTTTCTTAGTCAGGAGGCCAATCTCAAAAGCCTCTTTGGCGTCACACAGACACACACTTTTCATTGCCGGAGGACAGTCAGTAGAGCAACTGTACGACAATAAGCATGTGCCACGGATATTCTGTGGAAAAAACAAATGCAGGTCAGACATTGTATCTGACTAGATGTGAACCAGAACACACTTTTCTTCCTTTCTGACCTTTTCTTTACTCTTTTTTTTTTTTTGAGACAGGGTTTCTCTCTCTGTAGCTCTGGTTCTTCTGGAACTCACTGTGTAGACCAGGCTGGCCTCAATCTTAGAAAGATCCGCCTGCCTCTGCCTCTCGAGTGCTGGGATTAAAGGTGTGCACCACCACACCCAGAAACTTTTTTTAATTCCTGGAGGATACTCACTTAAAATATTACAGAAGAATACAGACATGCCACAGACACTCTAAAGAAGGTCCATGAATGTTCAGTGGAGGATGTGAGCTTTGTTTCGATGAGTGAGAATGGATGGAAACAGGAGCCATTGACTGGCATGGAATTAAGACATTGTCTTTACGTTCCGTCCTGCCATGAGCCTGACAATTGTGAACTGACCATAACAGAATTATAATTTGCTGTTGTTCATTTTAGCAAATGGTGTATGATGGTTGGGTTGCTCATTTGATTGATTTGAGGAGTCTGTGAAAATTTATGGGAGGCAATGACATTAGGGATGTACGACCCACCTTGAAGGTGGGTTGTACCACCCAGTAAGCAGGAGTGAATTTGGAATAAAAGGAGAAGATGGAAGATGAATGTCTGATAGCACCCGCAGCCATGAAGCTGAAGTTTTTGTTCTTGAGAGCTCCTGGTATTATGATATTTTACCTTTCATCAGTGTTAGAGCCAGTGAACCGCAGACTGAAACCTCAGAAACTGCTAGCAAAAGGAAAACAACAGCAAAATCAAAGCAAATAAAAAGAAAGAATATTCCTTTCTTTCCTTTAGATTATTTCTCACAGTATTTGTATTTGTGGCAGTGACAACAGTCTTACTAACATACAGTCTATACCAGGACACAAACATAATTAATTTCTCTATGCAGTAAGGGTAATGATTTAATTATAACCCAAACAACAGAGTATTGGGGTTTAAATCAATCTGTGTATTGAAACAGCTGACTAAGAGTCATTCCCCTATACCTGCACAGTGCTGGTTTCTCATATGGACACCGAAATCAGTGGATGCTCAAGCTCCTGGCATAAAATGGAATGTGTATGCAATATGCATATATATCATCTGTAGATCACTTATAATATGTAACGCAGTGTCAATACTGCATCATCTAGGAATGACAAGAACACAAGTTCTGTCTGTATATGTTCTCTAAAGAGGCAAAAATTTTGCTGAAGTGTTAGAGTGTGGAACTTGTAGACGTGGAGCTGATCATCTATATTTTTAAATCAACTCATTGTTAAAAGTGATGTGTGTGCTTGTCTGTTTACATGTTCACACACATGCCCATGGAGTCCACAGAGGGTGTCTATTGCTTGGACCTGGAGTTCTAGGCTGTTGCAAGTCCCGTGATGTGGGTGCTAGGAACCTGATCCCTGTCCTTGATCACTGATCCATCTTTTCAGCCTCAAAGTTGACTATATTTCAAAATGAAAGCTTTTGGAATGTTAACCCAAGAGATTTGCATTTAACCGGCATAGAGTAGATCCCAGGAGCATATGTTTTGAAAAGGCTTCTTGGGTGGTTTTGATTGGATGCCAGCCTTAGGAGCCCTTGCTCTGGAACAGACAGCATTATATGCTTGGACTGCAGTAACCTGGCTGCCATCAGGATATAGTCATTCTGACCAATAGTACTCCCCTCGTGTGGAGTCTTCACATAACTGCCAGTGGGGAGCCAGCACCTACTTCAAGGATAGACCTCCCCTCCCCGCTGCATGGGAGAACCTGTGTTTACCACAGCTGTGAGCACAAACAGGGGTGTGTAGGCACTGAAGGCTGCTGCTAGTTTGCAGGCTTCTGCCGCTGACAACAAATGGTGGTCAAACTCCTTGAGCAAGGCCTGTGGGGAAAGAGAATGGAAAGTGGAGCAGTGGGTACCATTTCTCCATTAGCAAAATAACACCCATGACATCCCACTGCTTTTCTTTCAGGATTCTGAGGGAACCCTTCCTTTCATCTGTCAGAACAGTGCCAAGAAAGTCTAAGTGAATCTAAAGATCCCAGAGCATCTGGTGTCCTCTTCTCTGGCTACCCCTATCCCTATCCTCATTCACAGCCCAGAGGGTCTAGCATGTACACCATTTAGGCAAAGTAAACCAGATGAGCCTCTCTGTGAAATGGGAGGCAATTCCCCATTCATGGAAACTGCACATTCTGTCTCCAGACTGACTGATGATCTCTGTGTTGTTCTTAGCAAAGGTGTCTTCATGGCTTCACACCAATGAGGATTCATCCATTCATTTCAGAAACATATACTGGGCACCTCCATGGGGTCAGACGGCACTCTAGACTTGCAACAGTAGACTGTAAGTCTGCAGAAAGCTCTTTTTCTATTGAAGAAACTAGCAGTGCACCAAGTTACTAAAAAGAATGGCAATATTAGACCAAGAATATGGAGCAAATCCTCAATATCTGATTTGAACATCAAAAACATTTGCCCCTAGGTGTCTTTGTCATAACCTGCTCCTCCTCCTCCTCCTCCTCCTCTTCCTCCTCCTCCTCTTCCTCCTCATCCTCCTCCCCTCCTCCTCCTTCTTTCCCTTTTTTCTTCTTCTTTGTTGAGACAAGTCCCTCACTGGGACCTGGAGCTCACCGATTCAGCTACAATGGCTCACTAGAAAGCTCCAAGATTCCTCTATGTCTCCAGCATTAGAATTACAAGCAAGTGCCATCGTGCCTGGCTTTTATGTGGAGGTTGAGGAACAAAGTAAGGTCCTCATACTTATGTGGAAAACACTCTACCAACTGAATTATCATCCCCTGTCACACCCAGAGTAGTTTTGTTTTTAAATTATTACCCTTTTGTCACCAAGTGTGGATACTGAATTTTGTAATATATTGAAAGGAAATATATGGGACTGAAGGTCACTCTGATGATATCCTATCATTCGTTCACTTGAACATTCCAGAGACCTTTTTAAATATTTGATTCAGTGCTAGAGTCTGGGAAGGACAAGATAACTAGGACCCATTATAATTGATCCCATTAGTATAGGAGGGTCTGCGCTCCCAAACCCTACTCTACTGGGAAAGAAGTAGGGTAACCAGCAACGTGAATTGGTAGCCAGAACCAGCATCAGCAGGTGTCCAGGGGATGCCATTCTGAACCATTTATTTTTGACAAATGACAATTACCAAGTTAACCTGTGGGCTGTTCTTAAACTTTTCATAATCTGTTTTGCTCATGGAAACAAAGATGTCTGCCAGTATACCCAGTGATGTGGAAATTCCCTGTAAAGAAAACAAACAAATCAGATTGGAATTCTCTCATCTTATGGCTTACAGTCAATGACTCCATTCCATGTGAACTATCTGCTTGTTATTATCCTATGACTATGACATGGAGAAACTTGAATTAAAGATCGTTGGCTTGAGAGTATTGCATCACAAGGCATGAGGATGAATTAAATATAGCTACTTTGAAGTTGGGCTTTATGGGTTATTGGCATTAATTTATCTAATAATTGGCATGAAAAGAGGTCTCATACTACTCTCTATCCGTGCTGTAAAAGAGGATAGGCCTCACTCAGTGACACAGCTCTGGGAAATGGAGGCTTCGGATCATAAGAGAGCAGTCCCACAAAATTACAGAGAATGACACTGCCAACAGCAAAGCAAGGGTTGATTCTTAGTTTCTTAAAGAAACAACACACGAACAGTTAAAGGAAGTTTTTACTCACTGGACTCTTGGAAAATGACTTTATACATAAGTATCATGGCCATCTCAGCTTTGCCACAGGATCAAGTGAAGACTAAATATGCAAAACGATAGACACAGTGGAGCAGAGAACTCAATTTATAGTTGAAGAGTTAGGAATTATTACAGAAACCTGTCATAGGCCAGGTCTAACTATAACACACAAGGAAGTTCCCACATGTTCCTGGTCCTGTGTTTCTGTAGAATAAGATGGTGCAGATAGAATTGATAAATGATGAAGTTAATTGTGTTATAAAGAGACAACTATCCAAAGACAAGCAGGGAGAGGAGATACTGCATGGAGGCACACAACTTTTTTATCCGGCTGAGGGAGTGCCAAATAGCCTACGACCGAGGCCCATATCAACTTTGCCGCTTCGTACCACATGCCTGAAAAACAGAGGAAGAACAGGGATGGGCTGTTAGCATCTGTGCCTCCGTGTACAGATTTATAGATAATAACTAGATAAGATATATAGCTAGGAAGAAATTAGACAAATAATACATCAGGAACAGTTATTGGCTTCTGTTAGGAAAACTTGGGTTAGATTAGACTGACACAACCATTTGTTTCTTTCCTTTGGTCATATATTGATAACTTTCCCATATCATTGAGAAACTGTAAGAATTACCATACATTTGGTGTCTGTCTTAATTAGGGTTACCATTGCTCTGATGAAACACCATGAACAAAGCAACTTGCACTATTCATCACTGAAGGAAGTCAGGACAGGAACTCAAACAGGGCTGGAGGGAGGAGGCAGGAACTGACAGAGAGGCTATGGAGGAGTCTTGTTTACTGGCTTCTCAGCCTGCTTTCTTACAGAAGCCAGGACCACTGGCTCAGGGATGGCACCATCCTCAATAGGCCGGGCCTTTTCATAATAATCATTAATTAAGAAAAGGCCCTAAAGCCGGGCAGTGGTGGCGCACGCCTTTAATCCCAGCACTCGGGAGGCAGAGGCAGGCGGATCGCTATGAGTTCAAGGCCGGGCTGGACCGACAGCCTCCAAAACAATACAGAGAAACCCTGTCTCGTAAAAACCAATAAATAAATAAATAAATAAATAAATAAATAAATAAATAAATAAAATAAAAAAGAAGAAAAAAGAAAAAAGAAGAAAAAAGAAAAAAAGAAAAGGCCCTATAGGTTTGCCTACTGCTTGACTTATGGAGGTATTTTCTCAATTGAGACTCCCTCCTCTCTGATAACTCTAGCTTGTATCAAGTTGACATAAAACTAGCTGGCATAATCTGTAACACATACATACATAGATATACAGTCTATGGTCATTTTCATTATTTATAAGAATGATAGTTACTAACATCTATTAAAAATTTTAAAACCTGTAGCTCATCTTTTAGTCTAATTAGAGTTTGAAAACTTTGCTCAAAAATTTGTGAGTACTCCTAGGAATGAATGAGTAACCAAAATCAGTGACTAGTCACAATTCACAACTGTGAATTTTGCTAACAAAACAGAAAAAATATTTTCTCTTATTAATATTCTTTTTTTGTTGTTTTGGTTTTTGGATTTTCAAGACAGGATTTCTCTGTGTAGCCCTGGCTGTCCTGGAACTTGCTCTGTAAACCAGGCTGACCTCAAATTCAGAGATCTGCCTGCCTCTGCCTCCCAAGTGCTGGGATTAAAGGCCTGCGCCACCACTGCTTGGTTCTTATTAATATTCTCAACAGTTATGGGATTTTTTTTGTTTCTTGAGCTAGGGTTTCTCTGTATAACAATCCTGGCTTTCCTGGAACTCACTTTGTAGACCAGGTTGACCTTTAACTCACAGAGTTCTTCCTGTCTCTGCTTCCCGAATGCTGGGATTAAAGGCATGTGCCACCACCACCTGGCCTGTTAAGGACTTTTTTAAAACATGAAGTCTCACTATGTTGCCCAGGCTGGCATTAGTCTCCTGGCTCAAGTTATCCTCCTGCCTCAGTCTACAGAGTTGGCTACACAGGTGTACACAGCCATGCTCAGTTCAGTTCCTAATATCCTAAATGTTATTTTCCTCTCAACAGGACAACTAAGGGAGTGTGATGTGACAGTCTTGACAATATATAATAAAACTCCGCAGTAAATTCTTACAGCCAGTCTCTGTGTGTGAGCCCTAAGAGGGATAAAGAATGATGTCAGACAGTACCTAGCTTTTGCAGAATTTAGAGTGATGTCAGACAGTACCTAGCTTTTGCAGAATTTGTCCTCTGATTTGTATACAGACCGACTGCACCAGGACTCTATCACTTTCATTTCTATACAGCCAAGTACCTGAAATAAAAAAGGAAGGCGTTGCCTGGAATCAATAAGGACATGGCTTGGTAAAACAAACCTGTTTTCATAGACGTCTTCATGAACACACATGACTTAGATTTGAGAGACAGCTCCAATGCCCATGACTCCACAGGAGCCAGTTTTTATATGGTCTGCAGCTGTCTTATCACTCCCTAGGGTCTTCATCTGTGACTTTTGTTCCAGGCACCTAGCTGTGCTCACATCATCCCAACTTGGGATCCTCTTCTCAGGCTTCTTAAGAGTTCATCTTCTCTCTCAGATGGCGGATTCAGTACTATTGTCTTGAAGGCTCCCCAGGTTCCTGACCCCAGGTTGTCTTAGCCACAGTGAGACCTCACTGTCTGTGGCTGTCTGGTAGACCTGCACAGGGTCAGTTCCAATCACACAAGATTCATTTGAATACTGAAGGTGATGACTCCACACAGACCAAAAACTTAAGAAGATAATTCATTACCCATGTAATGAGACTTGCTAGGGAGATCTGGGCTGGCACCCAGGCTGGCCATTTGACTGAATGAAGGGAGTTGTGAGTGGCTTTGAATTTTTTGTGGTGGTCATTGTGTGAGGCAGGTAGAGTTCTGAGAAGCTGGGCTGGAGTTTGTGGGCAAGTAGGCTGGCTTTTCAGTTTTGTAATAGCATATATTAATTCTGCAACATAGGAAGTTTGTTATGACATGTCTCCACATGTACACACCTTACCGTGTACTCTATTATTATTTCTATTCTGTTTTGTCAACTGACCCCCTGGGTGGCAAAAGGAAAAAGGGAGAGTAAATGTCAGTGGGAAAGAATAGAGTTGAGCTCTTTCTTCATCTTTCTGTCATACTGCATTATTTTCTTCCTAGTTCCTGTATGTGAGCACATAGGTGTGTGTGTGTGTGTGTGTGTGTGTGTGTGTGTGTATGGGTTTTTCTGGTGTGCATGTACAGTGTAGAAGACAGAACATGTGAACAGTTTGGCTTAGTGCTGGGGGCCACAAATGAAAGGCACGCAGTGAATATTTGTGTCCCAGCCAGTCTTCCTCTTGGTTGATGTCCACAGTTTTCAAGAACCAAGAGTCAGTGCATCTCAGCCCATTGAACTCAAAAGTTTACTGAACAAAACTGTGCTCAACTTCTGGGAAAACGTTTGCTGCCTTAAATGCTTAGAACTCCCAACAAAACCTCCGAAGGTTTAAATGATCTGTTAGACAACTCCTACCACTTCCTTTCATATGTTATTGAATATGAAAAGGAAAGTAACTTCAAAAATAACTTTTTATGAAAGTTGTTATATAGCAAAAAGAATTTCCAAGACACTGAAATACATGAGGCAGTAGGAGCATTCTTCTGAGTCAGAGCCTTCATACCCAAGCCCACCCCACAATCAGGGATTCAGCTGAGCTCTTGTAGGGGTTCACAGATTGTCTGCATTAGCAGTGATTGTGTATTAGTCGAGGTCCTTATAACGAAGCAATGACATACCAAGCACCTTTTGCTTTGTGTTTGAATTTAGAGAAAATGAAAAGAGAAATCAGTAAGAAACTTGGCAGAAACCACTTCATTCCTCACTGCAGACCCAGCCCCAGGTAGTCTCCTGAGTAGCCAACATAGATTGAGCTGGTGTAGACCAGGGAGGGCCTGAGGGACGAATTGCTCTGGAGATGTGAGACACTTACCGGTTGCTCCGTTGTTGGTTATCAGGCTGCTCAGGATGTACTCCGCCTTCAGCAGTTTCCCTGAGAAGAAGCAAGCAGACACCAATGAGTGCAGGCGCCCACAAAAGGCCAGAAGAGGGCATCAGATACCCTGGAGCTGGAGTTATCGGCAGTTGTGAGCCACCTAACATGGGTTGGGAACTGAATCCAGGTCCTCTGCAAGAGCAATGTGTAGTTCTAACTACTGAGCCATCCCTCCTTATCTAATGCTTTTAGTCAAGTCTAATTATATTTCCTGTGTTAGTGACTTGTCTTTTTTTCTTGTTTAAGATTTTTTTTGTCATTTATTTTTGAGTAGTTTTGCCACACTGGATCCAGGAAGGGCTTAGGATTGGATATACTCTTTCACTGAAAAAAATATGTTTTGTCTCACTTCTGGATCTCCTCAGTCTTGGAAATTCTGTTAGGCATTCGTGTGTGTGTGTGTGTGTGTGTGTGTGTGTGTGTGTGAGAGAGAGAGAGAGAGAGAGAGAGAGAGAGAGAGAGTATGTGCGTGTTTTCTCTTTTAGCTTTCAGACTTCTTCACATTTTCTTTAAATTCAATGTTCAATTCCGTGTCTTTCCCTCCTGCTGTTAGTGCTGTTGCAGGGATGTAAGTCAGGAGGTCAGGGCTGAACACCTGGGAACCTGCCTTAGGAAAAGCCTTTTTGTTTCCAGGCTGTTACCAGTTACATAGCGAGAGGCACAGGGGGCACATGGTGTTAGCTGGTCCCTGGCTCCCCCAGTGAGCAGCGTCAGCTCCAGACCTTCAGAAGCAGAACACATGTTTCCTCACATTCCCAGCGTGCCACAGACATGTGGAAGGCAGGCAGCACTGCCCGGGAGCACCATTCCCAGCGTGCCACAGACATGTGGAAGGCAGGCAGCACTGCCCGGGAGCACCGTTTGCTGTGACTTTTGAAGAATGGATTGAAGGGAGACAGAATGAAAACCAGAGTGAGCACTTAGAAAACTCGATTGCCACTTGCCAGGTAATTGCATAGCTTTTGAAACTTGCTTATTTTTTAAATATTTTTTCTTTTTACTTCACTTTCCTAGCCAGTTATTTTCTTGCCATGTCCTCAGTGACCGTTCTCAGCAGTTGCACATCCTCCTGAGCCACGAAATGCATGAAGTTCAGTGCACCCGACCCGTGGGGAGAGCTGCTGGGCACACTGGCTCTCTCTCTAGAGGTCCTCAACCTTCCTACTGCTGCACCCCTTTAACACAGTTCCTCATGTTGTGGTGACCCCCAACCATTAAATTATTCTCATTGCTATTTCATAACTGCAATGTTGCTACTGTTATGAATCATAACGTAAATATCTGATATACAGGATATCTGATATGTGACCCCAAGGTTGAATAAGCTTTCTTGAAACTTCTGCACAGAGGCTGGGAGGAGTCACTACATCCCCTTTCATAGCCTTGCAAAGCTTTAAGAATTCTGTCTTTCGACTATGGACACCCCCATGGAGGGCCTCACCCTCCCTGGGGGAATGAGGGGATAACGGGGGGGGGGGTTGGGGGGAGGGCACGGGAGGAGGGGAGGGAAAGGGAGAGGGACCTGGAACTGACTTGTGAAGCAACCTTGTTTCTTATCTAAATTTAAACTGGAAAATAAAATAAAAAAAAAGAATTCTGTCTTTCACTGGACGTTGGTGACACATGACTTTAATCCCAGCATGCTGGAAGCAGAGGCAGGTGGATCTCTGTGAGTTTGAGGCCAGCCTGGTCTACAGAGTTCCAGAACAGCCTCCAAAACAATACAGAGAAACCCTGTCTCAAAAACAAAACAAACAAACCAACCAACCAAACAAAGAATTCTATCTTTTGAGGGGTCAAGACTAGGCTGGTTTAACCCACAGAAACAGATGACCTGAACAAGGCGGAGCTCTTGGACCCCAGACTGATGGCTGGGAGGCCAGCATGGGACTGATCCAGACCCCCTGAATGTGGATGTCAGTGAGGAGGCCTAGGCAATCTATGGGGCCTTGGGTAGTATTTATCCATGGCATACAATTGGACTTTGGCTGCCCATCCCACAATGAGGGATGCTTTCTCAGCCTGGACTCTTGGGGGGAGGGCCTAGGCACTGCCAAGGATGAAATGACAGACTCTGGAGATCCACCATGAAGGGCCTCACCCTCCCTGGGGAATGGAGTGGAGATTGGGTGGGGGGCTGGGGGAACTGGTGGGGGGGCGGGGGAGAAGAAGAGGGAGAGGGAGCTGGGATTGACATGTGAAACAAGCTTGTTTCTAACTTAAATTAAAAAAATTACAAAAAGAAATCTATCTTTCTGCACCTATTTTTAATCATGTGACTCAGGGTCCCATCCTCAGTCTCTGCACAGAGATTCAAATCCCCATCCCTTCCCTTAGGACTATGTCTAATGCAAATGCTGCTGGATGTGTGTTGTGAGAAGTAGTCTAATGCTCTGACCCTGAACACCCATTATGTCGCAGACACTTAAAAGCCTTTACTGCACAGTATTTACATGTTTGTAATGAGGGAAGGTTCTGTGCTGGCTCAGTCTTCCATCTTTACGGATGTCTGTGCCTTTGTCTCCACTGTGGCTTGGAATATTTGTTTCCTGATCCAGAGTGAGCTGAGCAGCAGGCCCAACGGGTCTTTTCTTGTCTCCCTGACACCTGCTATTTAGATATCTGCAATGTATTTTGGGTGGAAAGCTGCAAGGACTTGATTGGAGGGGATCTCAGTTGCACTATTGTCTTCTCACCTTCTTTACCCTGTTTGATGACTATAGTCCCCCATTCTCTCCCCGGGTACTTCCTTTGCGTGACCCAACTCTAAATACTCCACACCCACACATACATACCCATTGTACTCAAATGCTGTGTAGGTGTACAGATATTTTAGGGCAGGTGTTTATAAGAGTCAGCCCTGTGGCTGCGTGTTTTAGTTGCTCTCATGGGAATGCCTTTGAGCAAAAGACAAGCTCAACTGTTGAGAAATAAGATGCTGGACTTTTATTTTAGACTCAAGAGAGCCAAGGAATATACCTTGCACGGTGACATTAAAGCGTCAGTAGGAGAAGAGCCCTGGATCACCAGTGTTACAGGCACAGCCGCAATAATGACAAAGCAAGGCAAAGGAACGACTAGGGGTGTAGCTCAGGGCTAGAGCACTTAACTAGCAAACATGAAGTCATGGGTTCTATCCCCCCAAAAGGTAAAAGAAAGAGAAGAAAATTTGACAGATTAGTTGACTGTATGAGAAACAAAGCTGTCAACACACCTGCCTATCGTTTGACCTCTCTTTCCATACCACAGCCTAGCTACTCTGCATACGCAAAATAGCAAAATACGCAGCACAACTCTCTTGCAAGTGCAACTCAATGGGAACCTGCATTAAAACTCTGCTGCTGCGTGGATCCCACAGCAAGCTCTTCTCATGCCACTGCCATTGGATGCCGCTAGGTTTCCCTCGCGCCTCAAACACCATTAATGCATTAGGGACATCCGAAAGAAGATGTTTTCCCTATGTTCAGCCTTCTCTAGGGTTACTCTGGAAAAGTCAAGAGTAAGTCACAGGCATAATTTATTTACAGTTAGAAGAATTTGCCAGGGTGGACTTGAGCTCTTGTGGTACTTGGACTGACTGGAGGCTTTCACATGTGCGAGGCTTTACACTGAGTTGTATTCCAGCCCTGATCTGGAGTTTTCAAAAGGCAATCTCTACAAGTCCATTCTGTCCCTTCTGCATCAAACAACTGTCCCATTTAATGTAGTTACTGAAGTTCCCTTTCAAAAGAAATGAAGAACCCAGCACAGCACAGACTTACCAAAGTAACCAAAAAACTGAAATCAAGCAAAAAAAAGAGGGGGCTGGTTATCTCTGAGAGGGCGATTTCACTTCTCTTTTCATACTTTTTTGCTCTGCGTTTCTACATTTGCAGATCACGGGTAATTTAAATACTTCTAGACACTGTGTGGGAGCGGGCTGCGCTGTCACATACCCAGCCCCCACCTCGCCCCAACTCCCCTTCTACGGCTTAAGTTGGCCTGTCAGCCTCAGTTTTCATTTCATTCAAAGTGACAGGGGGAAAAAAGATACCTTCAGCCCTAATCAGGTACTGTACCGGTGCTCTCAATGATGAAAACCCCTCAAATTGCTTCAGTGGGCTGTCAGCTCCATTGTCGGCTTAGTCAAGTGGCCCTACAGAAAGGAGACAGGAGAGCTAAGAGAAAAGAGTCGATTTCTAATCAGCTTTTAAAGGCCCTTGGTCAGAAGTATAGCGATTCAGATGCTCCTGTTTGAAAGCAGCGGGGCAGATTTGTTAGCAGACAAAGGCCCCAATTAGTATTTTCCACACCCTTTCACAATTTTCTCTACTGCTTTTGGCTCTGAAACTCTTTACGCCAGGCCTTTGTGCCTGCCGAGAGGCGGGAGCAGGGGCAGCGCGGGCTGGGGCCGCAGAGGTGGCACCCACCGGTGCCCGGTGCCCGCGAGGGCCTGGAGAGGTCAAGTAGATGGGAGTAAACGGGCTAGGGACCAGCCGGCGGCGCCAAGGGATGGAGCCCACCTGAGTTGACGGAGATCCGGGCTTGACGGATGACCACCTGCGGGGCGATGGGCGTTGCAGGCTGCAACTTGTGCAGGCCTTTGGCGACCTGCAGGAGTTTTCCCGAGACGTCGAGTCCGTACAGGAACCGGTCCATCAAGAAGACAATAGCGGCGGCGGCAGCGCAGTCCCGGACAAGGATGGAGGCTCGCAAGGCCGCCTGCAGAAGCAGCCACAAGACACAATGAACCAACCAGAAGACACCGCAGGTCCCCAAAGAAGGCTGCCCTGAACCGAGCCTAGCCGTCTAGGTACTTTTATTTAAAACAACAACCAAGCTTGTGGCTAGTGGGAGAAGTATTCTTTAGTACGTGACAAAATCATAAGAAAGAAAAAAAATAATTAAGAAAAGTTCAATTCTGTTGATAAAATAGTTTGGTCTTCATTGAATTCCCCTCCTCTCCATGTGTAAAACCATATTAATAGGAAATGCATATTTCTTTTTAAATAAAAACAGTTCAAAAGTGGGGCACAGACTAAAAGTATGTAATTTCCTCACTCCTTACTAGTTTTATTTCCACTTTCCCCTCGTCTCCTCTTGCTCTTATTCTCTCTAATAACAATTTAAGTAAAACTCCTGAACAGGTGTGTCCCCTTTTACGAATACATAGACATTAATTGATTCTTGGTCATGCCTTGCCTCTTTCTGTCTGTCTGTCATTAATGCCTGGCCTCTTTCTGTCTGTCATTAATGCGTGGCCTCTTTCTGTCTGTCATTAATGCAGTCACACTAGACACACTGTTCTTGGCCTTCCTGGTTTAGGCATCATTGCATCAGGGAGAGCTTTTCACCTCTCTCTCTCTCTCTCTCTCTCTCTCTCTCTCTCTCTCTCTCTCTCTCTCTCTCTCTCTCTCTCTCTGGGAGAGACAGAGAGACAGAGACTGAGAATTTCATATATGCATACAATGCGGTTTGATCAAATCCACTCCCCTTACCCTCCTCAGTTTCTCCTGCTCCCCACTCTTCCTTCACACGTTCTTTTTAAGCCACTGAGCCCACTTAGTGCACATGGCGTAGGAAAATCCAGGGAAGCATGTTCAGGGAGTACATCCCTGAAGAAAAGTTAATCTCTCTGCCCCACCAGCCATCTGTCATCAATAAATAGCTCCTCAGCTGGTGACATAACTGCGTGATTCACTTACGCACCCACGCTGGGATTATGGCTAGCCTGATCGTGTGCAGGTCTTGTATGTGTAGCTAGAGCTGCTGCGAGCTCATCTTTGCAACACCATTGTCATGTGCAGCAGATACCGTATCATTGCAGATGCCCACTGCCTCTGGCTCTTACACTCTGTCTTCCTCCTCCTTCTGAAATGATCCTTGAGCCTTGGGGGTAACTGTCCCATTTAGGTCTGAGTACATTGGCTTGGCATTCATTTCAGCTGCTCTTCAGGGCAGAAGGGAGCCTTTCTAGTAGAGGCAGAATGATCCTGTGTTGATTGGTCTGTGGCAGGAGCAGGTCCAACAGGAAGAGTATCTGGGCAGACTATGGATATATGTGTTTGACACAAGCTGGCTTGAATTCCTGATCTTCCCTCCTGCTTCAGCTTCCCAAGCGTTTTCATTGCTGATATGTACCACCACATCCACCCCTAATACATGTATTTTAACTAAGAAACAGTACACTAGATCAAAATTCAAATTTGATTTTTATTATCCTGTTAATATAAATCACATATACATGTTCATAAACAAATGGAGAAAAGAAAATAAATACGACTTGAAAGTGTAACTTAACATGTGTGCACGAATACACACACACAATAATAAAAATGAATCTTTAGGTTTAGAACATCTCGGAATCATTCTCATTGAGAGAAAATGCCCTCTGCTTTGGAAACCTTCACAGCAATATCTCTGCAGAGTTTCAACACTGTGCTGTGGTCTACACCTTGGACCATCATGCCCACCCAAAATGGTTTCCATGTGAGATACTGGAAAGTGGTAAAACTTTTTTGGTGATAGAGCTTGGTGGGAGGCCTTGTGACATTGGAGGTGTGTTCTTGAGGAAGGCTATCACCCTTGTCTTCCTTATTTTGGGGGGGGCATGAGTGGAGCAGTTGTTGTCCAGCGTCATGCTTTTGAGCATGTCCATCAGAAGTCTCCTTAGCACTAGATCAGATGAGCTGTGGACCAGAACTTTCAAAACTGTGAAGCAAAACAACACTTTTCTATTTGTGAGTTATCTTCCTGTTATTTCCTTAGAGTGGTGGAAAGCTGACTAAAACAATTAGTATATTTCTAAGTATACTAGGCTAAACATTTGCTTCTCATCCATGCAGAGCTTTAGTTATTTTAGAGTTTAGTTTATTTATTTACTTGACTTGATTTCTGGTTTATATTTTATCCAGCATTGCACAGAAAATAACATTTATGCACAAATGTGTCGTGTGTGTGTGTGTGTGTGTGTGCGCGCGCGCGTGCACGTGCGTGCACACATGAGCAATCATGGATCATGCAGTGCCTACCAATGACAGCTCATTAATCATCAACTCATTTACTCACATGAAAATGATAATCTCTAGTTAAATTGTCTTGCTATCTTAAATTTTCATTGCTTTTACTGTGAAAGAGATGTCAGTCCTTAGTAGACAAAATCTCCACCTTTATCTCTCCACCTCTTCTTTTTTATTAGCTTACAAACATCTCTCCCTGTCTTACTGTTTCCTTCCTTGTAGTGGGACATCAACCATTACAGCATTTCTGGCTTCTATTTATTTATTTTACTGCATGGGAGACAGAATGACTGTGATCAGAACATTTAGTAAGAATAACTGAGGTCTTTGATTATTTTCCTTTTCTCTCTGGAAAAAGCTGTCTAAAGAAAACTGATTCTTTTCTGCTCTTCTATACCTGAGGTCTCCCCATAGGAAGCACATCCAGGGGATGCTCTATACCCCGGGTCTCATCTGGCAAGCCTATATAGCAAGGCCCTATCAGGGATGTTCTGCTTGACCAAGTGATTCCTGTGATTATGGAAGTCTGTGTTAATTGTGCAAGCAATATGGCAGATCTCCTATGCTCCAATATGAAGCTTTACCATCCAACCTGGTCTTTGTCAGGGTTAAAGGTCATACTTAATCTCTTGTTCCAGGAGAGATGGCTCAGCTAATAAGACCACTCACTTGTGCAATCTTGAGGATTTGAGTTTGGATCCACAGCCCTCACCCCCCAAGCCAGATGTGGCTGTGTTCACCTGTAACCACAGCACAGAGGGTGACAGAGTTTAGGGGAGACAGGTAGATTCTAGGAGCTCATTGATTAACTAGCCTTACTGAATGGATAGCTCTAGGTTTAATAAGAGATATTTTCTCAACAGAGTAAGGTGGAAAGAACACATAAGCTACACATACACACCACACACACACACACACACACTATTTCATATTTTATTGGCTAAACTTTTGTGTTATTTCCCAATTTTCTCAGAATTCAAGAAGGGAGGAGGGATTATTTATTGGATATTCTTAAAGTCCATGGGGTTAACACTACCTTTCTTTTCAAAGTCACCATAGACCTTGTCCCTGCCTTTGAAGTAACCACGTATTTTGATACTTGCTATACTTCTCCATCCCTAGCCCTGACCACATTGGGGCAAATCCAAGAGCAGCCATGTGACACCCAGCCTTGAATCCCCGGAAATGAACCTCTCACTCTGAACTGAGGCATGTAGCTGCAGGTGGAAGGAAGAATTTGTTTTATCGTGTGTGTGTGTGAACCACACGCATGTAGGTACCCACAAAAGCTAGAAGAGGCACCAGATCCCTTGGAGCTGGAGCTACAGGCAGAAGTTGTGAGACACCTGGCATGGATGCTGGGAACCAACTCAGGTTCTCTGTAGGAGCAGTACTTTGTTGTTGTTGTTTTGTTTTGTTGTTTTTCATCAGGTTTCTCTGTGTTGCACCCTGACTGTCGTGGAAATCACTTGGTAGACAGGACTGGCCTCGAACTCACAGAGATCTGCCTTCTGAGTGCTGGGATTCAAAGGCGTGTGCTGCCACCACCACCTGGCAACACTCATTCTTAATAGATGATCCATCTCTCCAGCTTCACACCTCCCTGCTTACCATCTTGAAACTACATTTCTCCTTTATTATTCCATCATCACCTTCAAGATTATGTACAGTCTTCCGTGAGTTTATTTGACTGAGCCTCCCTTTCTTCCAACCAAAAGTGGCAAGCTACAACTGAAATGCTATTGAACTTTTATTTCTCAAGTCAACAATCACTCTGAGAAACAAATTTCACAATGAGTGCAGTCATCTCAACGTCCTAAAGCACAGATCCAAAGATAGAAAAGCAAGTTGACTGTTTGATGTGTGCCCAGGTCTGTCTGGTAAGGCCAGTGTCTGAGTGAGAGTCCTTCCTGTGGGCACCATGTAAGCCCTGTCCTCTTCTTGGCAACTTTCAGCTACTGTCTATGGTCACAGGGCTTGAAGTTTTTCTTACTGCTGGCCCTTCATAGTCTGCTCAGCACCACTCTCTTTCAGCTAGCACATTTCTCTGTACCTTGGAGGATGCTCAGTGATGTACTCTCATGGAACATTCGAGTGTACACTGCCCCGCTGCTCCTATAGTTCTGCCCCCTTCTCCTCGGAGTCCATTTGTTCTGCAACTGCCCCCAGGTTTGGGGCAAGCTGCTTTCCAGATGTGGTCCTCACTTTTTTCCTCATCAATAATAGTGGGCTTCATCTTTGTGGCAGCATCTAGTTTCTGAAAAAATCCTTTTGTACTGTCTTACTAATAATTGCCTTAAAATTTAAATTAAAAAGGGAGATGAGAGGCTAAGTGGTTTTTAAGGTCACAAATCAAATGCATCAGAGATAAATGGGAATCGATTTCAATTCCTATCTCTTTCAACATTTACTATCACAATTTTAAAGTGTAAAATTCAGTTATGCTAAAGACACATTTTTTTAATCTCAAGAATTTTAAAGACCAAATTTAATAACTCTTCCATTGCTGAAAAGCACCATTCTATTCTCTGTTTCTAAAAATTTGTTTGGTTTAGATATCTAGTGGAATCATAAAGCATCGGTCTATTTGTGACATTATATTTAGTGTGATGCCTTCACATTTCATCCTTGTAGGATATGACAGAATCCCTTCCCCCAATAAGAGTGAGCAATATGCCTCTGTATTCATGTACCACGTGTTTA